TGGGCCATTTTTTAAAATAGTCCCCATTATCCGGCATTTTGAGAATTATATAAACAAGCTGGCTCTAATTGGGTGTCAACCTACCAATAATTCTCCATAGCATAGCCCGCCATATATAAATGCCCCGAACGATTTCTGGTATTTTAAATGTCCACCTCATGGCGGTAGATTTAACGGACTCGGACTCTCAGCCTGCATCTGTTAGAATTCCTACTTTTCGAAGTTTCGACCATGATCTAGTTTAATAGTCTGGTAGACCCTAGGATGTGGAGTTGCATTTCAACAGGGTGTCTGACCCATAGAATCCAGGAGATCTTTGCTTCTCAAACAATGAGGTTTCCAACCTCCAAATACTTCTGATTATTTAGTACCTACACTTCGTTGTGATTGCATTGGTTGAAGCATTGTATTGACTGGTGTTTGAAGCTCCGTGAGGTAAGGCCGGAACGTAGTCTAAACGTCTTTGTTCTCCTCTGAAATGATTGGCGCACATGTCCACTTTTAGTGCGATTAGCTAAAGACTTTGTAACCACCACAAAGCTGAGGCTATAATTTTTATTGAACATTAGGCATAAAATCCGCTTTTAATATATAAGAAGAAGAAATCTCCATGACCTTCTATAAGTCCACTTGAAGTTCCCAAGGCCTCAGTCAAGGTTTTAAACAAATACATTTCAAAAGATATTTTGAATCCCAGATCTTCAAGGCCTCAGAAAATATTTAAAAGACAGATTTAGTAAAGGTATCCAATATCTCGAGTCGATCAAAATCACATCCGAGGCCTTCATGACCTCAGTAAAATTTTACATGACCTCAGTAAAGATCTCCAAGACCTTAGGAGAGGTCTCCGCTTTTAATAGATAAAAGCCTATGCCTTAATTTTACTATAATAACCCCTCTGTTTAATATGATTTAACTATAAAATAAATCTAATTTCCCTTTTTCTTCCCTCCAGATACCTCAGTGAACTTCATACATTCCTAAAATCTCGCCCGGACATATTGGCCAGTGAATTGGCCAAGAATAAAGTACGCAAAAGTGATGCTGGTCAAACAACTAACACAACTACAACAAAATCCACAGGCAGCAACAAAGATAAAGCAACCACCAGCAATGAAAACGCAAAATCTTCAAAAGAATCGGCAAAAGAAAAACCACACATCAAGGAATCTTCCTCGTCAACGTCCTCATCACAAAATTCCGAAAAACAATTGGATAAAAATCGACGAAAACAGCGGACCCCAACACCACCATTTAACGCCAACAATAATGCCGCTGCTGCTGGTTCATCATCAACATCGGCTGCCACTTCAGTTTCCGGATCCGCTGCTCCCTCTACATCTGCCGCTGCGGCAGCCAATGCCCAGACAGCTGTTACCCACCCACCCGGAGAAATTCCCATATTTACAACGGAATTTTTAGAGCACAATAAAATATGTGATATGGAGCTACGCTCTCTGCGTAAATCCAAAACCGATTTGGAACAACAAAATTTTGTTCTGGAGAAACATGTTGAAAATATGAAATCGGGTGTTGAAAAAATGCAAACCGAAAACAATGAACTGCAAGAGAAAAATAGACTTTTAGAAATATACCTCGAGAAGCTTAAAAAGAAATTAGCTCAAGCCTTGGCCTCGTTGCCTTTGCCATCGGCACCCAATGGTGCCACTGTAGAGAATATCGACAAATATATGCAGGACTTGTATAAAATGTCCACCTCAAACTCACATGGCCCGGCCACACTGAATAAGGCCAAGGATATTATCAGGAAATTGGATTTACAAATACAATTGTAAACAAATGTGCATTTGCGTGTGCATGCGCATGTTTTGTGTTCTGCCATAATGTCGTTTATAAATGTTTTTTGTATTTTTATTAATTATAAATATTTTTTAAGAATTAAATTAATTAATTATTTCTTTTAATGCTAAGTTACTTATATATGTTTTAATAAAAAAAACGTCAATACTTTTTTAAAAGTATTTTTTATAAATATAAATTTAAAAAATAGTTTTATTTTGAATTTAAAAATCTTAAAAAAGAATAGAATACAGAGCTCCGTAAGGATTTTATATTAAAGAGGATCGCTGGGGTCTTATATAGAATAGAAGAGCTTTACACTTGTCTATAAGACCCCCGATACCCTTTTTAGAATTATTTAACACCATGTCTTCATGTATTTTTTTTTTTTAAATTAAAAGCTGAGTCATATAGAGAATAGAAGAGCTTCACAGAGGCCTCGGTATAGACCCGTAAGACCTCTGAAGCATCCGTAGGGGTCTTCAACGCCTCAAAAAGATGTCTTCCACGTATTAACAGCTTCATGAAAATGAAAAGCACCGCTAGTAGATACTTGTAAGGCTTCCGAAGCCACAGTAGAGGCCTCAAAACGCCTTCTGTATCTCAAAAACCTTAGAATCCCCAAGATCTTAGAATAAGCCCACAAGCTCTCAGTAGAGGTCTTTAACATCTCCGAAGAGGTTCCAAGACCTCGGTAGTACACACCAGATCTAATTAGAGCTTCTATAGCCTCAATTTGTTGTCTGCAAAACTTCGGTTGATGTTCCTAAGCCCTCAGTCGAAATTTTCACCTCAAAAGAAGTCTCCAAGACCTTAGAAAATTTTTCAAAGATAGATTCAAAACCTTAAGTCAATAACAGCACATTTGAGGCCTCCAAGACCGCAATAAAATTCTCCATGACCTGCAAGACCTTAGGAGACGTCTCCTAACTGTCAGTAGAGTTATCTAATACTTCGGTAGAGGCCACCAAATTAAAATCTCCAAGTCCATAGTCGAAGTCCCCAACACATCAGAAGATATTTCACATACCAGAAGAATTATCCAAGACCTCGGAAAATGTACAGTAATGGTCTCCAATACCTCGAGTGAACAACACCACATTCGAGGCCAAGACCGCATACAAGTCTCAACAATCGTGTCAATAATATCACATTTGAGGTCTTCAAGACCTCAATAAAGATCTCCAAAACCTTAGGAAAGGATTCCTAACTCTCCGCAGAGGTCCGCGAAAATTCTGCTGAAGTATCCAAGACCCCATTGGATGTATCCATTTCATCTGAATAGGACTCCAAGACATCAAAGGGGTCCGAAGATATCAGTAGAGGTCTTTTGAAGCTTAGAAGAAGTTTCCAAGACTTGTGTTAACAGCACCACATTCGAGGCTTCCAAGACCTCAATAAAGATCTCCAAAACCATAGGAGATCTTCCATTCTAATTCACTGTAGAGGTCTCCACGATTTCAGAAGAGATCCACAAGACTTCTGTTGGAGTCTCCAAGACCTCATTCGAGGTCTCCAAATCATCAGAGTAGATCTCTAAGACATCAGAGATCTCAAATCTCTCTAAAAAGCATCAGTGGGGCCGAAGTCATCAGTAGAGGTCTCATAGAGCTTAGAAGAAGTCTCTAAAGATTCTGGGTCACCAACAGCTCAGCAGAAGCCATCAAAACCTAATTAAAGTTCTCCAACATCACATTATAGGCACCCAAGACCTCAATAGATTTCTGCATGACTTCGTTTGAGGTCTCTAATATCTCAAAGGTCTCCAAAACGTCGGTACAATGACTTTGTATAGGTCTACAAGATATCGGCAGAGGCTCACATGACTTCAGTAGAGGTATACAAACCTCAGAAGAGGTTCCAAGGTATTCTTGGTAGAGGTATTGGAAACCTGCAAGATGTTTGCAAGAATTATCCAAGACCTTAGACGAGGAGGACTCCCAAACTGCGAAAGAGGTCTCCCTTCTTCGCATTCAAAAAATTCACATTACTAAACAATTGAGCGAATATTTAAATCTCCTTTATGAAAGCCACTCATTGCAAAGTCGTCGAAGTGTCAAAAATGAACTTCCCCGAAGCGGAACCCCGTCTCCTACATTTCACAATTTCTCTAAAGAAGTCATCATGTAATGGGAGCCATAAAAAAGGTAAATGAGGTCTAAATACATTCTAATCACATCCACTGAAGACGTTTGGTTAGTCCATATACTTTCCAATTACATCCACGGGAACACGTTTCGGTAGCAAAGTCAGTATCCCATTGATACTGAATAAATAGAATAGAATAAATCCAATACAATTGTATTTATTATCTGAGACTACGAAATACAAAATTATAGATATAGAGGTTCAAAAATTCGCCGAGGAAAAGGCCCCACCAGAAGGAAAAATTACTGTCACTTCGGTTAGAAAATGTGCCTAAAATAATAAATGTACCTAGAATGGGGCGAAAATTGGAGATACATCGGTTGAGGTACCTCTATCTGGGAGCTAGGTCATAACATGAAACTGCATTTGTAATTTTCTGCAGAGAAGCTTTTTTAACCTCCAAGACCCTGATAATCCCAAAATTTCTCTCCTTAGGTTGAAAAGATTAATTAATTTAATTAAATTAATTAATTAAATTTAAAAATTGATATTATTGTGAATTGTACCCGCAATTTGCCATACATCAGCATTACAGTTGCGCCCCAACAATGGCGCGCCGCCGCCGATATGCTTATATATGATGCGCGGCCGCCAATGAAAAAATTGTTCCGGTTCGTTGTCTGCCGGCATTTCGCAACTTTCGCAAACAAAATAAGGATAAAAACTTGATTCTGTCAAGTTCTGTCAAGTCTTAAATCGATTTCTTAACCGCACGTGTTGTCAACATGCATACAACGCCGTCACATATTAACAGTATGGCTCGGTTATCTGACTGCAGCTGCTGTGAGTGTATGTGTTGTAAACAACAGCGGTTCTCATCAGTCTTACATCCCACCACATTCGTAAACTTTAACTTTCGTTTATACCACTCCACTTTGAGTTCATCTTTATCGGCCATTTTGTCTTCTCTTCCTATTCGTTAGAAGGTGGAACGTTTTTTAATTTTTTTCAGACGGTGAAAAAGGCGCAGAAAAGCATTTCAATCGGCATCTTCGATTAGCAACCGGTATTTCACAACTTTCGCAAACAAGTCTCAGGGAAAAAATACAAAAATGCCAAAAGCTAAGCCAAAAAAGAATGAATCTACCTCGGACAGTGATTCTGGACCAGACGATGTAAGTAGATGGGACGATATGTCACCCAAAATATACCGAAGTACATATATGTTTCTTTATTAGCGTGCTCCACCACCAAAAAAATCCAAGGACTCTGCCGCGGATGACAAAAAAAGTGGCGCCAACAGCAATCAATGGGTCCTCGAGCGTCAGCGTCAGGTACGCATTAATGAATTCCGTGGCAAGAAATTGATTGATATTCGTGAATACTATGAGAAGAACGGAGAAATGTTGCCGGGAAAGAAGGGTATCTCGTTGTCCGTCACACAATGGAAGAAATTACTAGAATGTGCCGATGAAATAAATCGAGCTATAGAAGAATAGCTGCTGTTCTTGCATTTCAAGAGTTTATAGATATTTCACACCAACCATACCACTATACTGTTAAGGAGTATACAGGAGTTATTTTCATTTTGTTTCCTTTTATATGTTAACTTTTTATCAATAAAGAAGAATTCCAATAATTATAAACTTTTGAGCTCTCTTGACTTGCATATAATTATAGAAACCTCCGGTCTTTATATATATCATTTCGTCTGTATAAACCCCTGCGGTCTTTATATTGGTCTGTATAGAGACCCGAGGTCTTTATAAAGACCAATTGGTCTGTATAGAGGCCCGAGGTCTTTATAAAGACCAATTGGTCTGTATAGAGACCACAGGTCTTTATAAAGACCAATTGGTCTGTATAGAGACCACAGGTCTTTATAAAGACCAATTGGTCTGTATAGAGACCACAGGTCTTTATAAAGACCAATTGGTCTGTATAGAGACCACAGGTCTTTATAAAGACCAATTGGTCTGTATAGAGACCACAGGTCTTTATAAAGACCAATTGGTCTGTATAGAGACCACAGGTCTTTATAAAGACCAATTGGTCTGTATAGAGACCACAGGTCTTTATAAAGACCAATTGGTCTGTATAGAGACCACAGGTCTTTATAAAGACCAATTGGTCTGTATAGAGACCACAGGTCTTTATAAAGACCAATTGGTCTGTATAGAGACCACAGGTCTTTATAAAGACCAATTAGTCTGTATAGAGACCCGTGGTCTTTATAAAGACCAATTGGTCTGTATAGAGACCCGTGGTCTTTATAAAGACCAATTGGTCTGTATAGAGACCCGTGGTCTATATAAAGACCAATTGGTCTGTATAGAGACCCGTGGTCTTTATAAAGACCAATTGGTCTGTATAGAGACCCGTGGTCTTTATAAAGACCAATTGGTCTGTATAGAGACCCGTGGTCTTTATAAAGACCAATTGGTCTGTATAGAGACCCGTGGTCTTTATAAAGACCAATTGGTCTGTATAGAGACCCGTGGTCTTTATAAAGACCAATTGGTCTGTATAGAGACCCGTGGTCTTTATAAAGACCAATTGGTCTGTATAGAGACCCGTGGTCTTTATAAAGACCAATTGGTCTGTATAGAGACCCGTGGTCTTTATAAAGACCAATTGGTCTGTATAGAGACCCGTGGTCTTTATAAAGACCAATTGGTCTGTATAGAGACCCGTGGTCTTTATAAAGACCAATTGGTCTGTATAGAGACCCGAGGTCTTTGTAAAGACCAATTGGTCTGTATAGAGACCACAGGTCTTTATAAAGACCAATTGGTCTGTATAGAGACCACAGGTCTTTATATAAAGACCAATTGGTCTGTATAGAGACCAAAGGTCTTTATAAAGACCAATTGGTCTGTATAGAGACTCGAGGTCTTTATAAAGACCAATTGGTCTGTATATAGACCCGAGGACTTTATAAAGACCAATTGTTGTGTATAGAGACCACCGGTCTTGATTAGGTTCCAAAGGGTTATCTTCCAGTTTATTGCATTCATTTTTGCCCCACTCTCACGTACCTCTTTCAAATTATCTTAAATCCAGAAAATGTGTTATTAAATTCTTTAAATTACATTAAAATGACATTCCATCCACTCCTTGGAGATTATGATGAACATGATGCTACATAAATTAATGGAAACAAAGGTGGTGGAGGTTATATTTCTGGCATCAAATCCAAAAACGAAAAATTGGGGTGAGTGTGATATTCCGTGTGGAAATTACAAACTCACGAATATGAATTCTATTACATGGCGATTTGTTTTTGGCATTAAATCCCAGCACGAGTCAAATACCAACCAACCACCCACCCTTTCATATTTTTTTGATTCGTTGTTGTTGTTTCTATACATTCTATGGAATTGTCAAGGTTCGCTGAAGGTTGTCTAGGGTATGGAATGAACGGAATATAGTGGTAGTCGTATTTTTTCAACTCTATAGTTCATCGTATTTCAATGGGATGTGACAAGAGGCAAATGTCTCACAATTTCCCTCCCTCACCAACTCATCGGGTTGTGATTTGGGAAGTCAATAAAAAGAACTGCAACAACAACAGCAACAACTACAATTGTGCATGGTAATGATATGCTACTAAATACTGCATTCGAATGCATCCAGCATCCTTGATGCACATCAAGGTACAAAAGTGTGTGTGTGTACATGTGTGTGTTCATCAGTTTGCCTTGATTTAAATTCGAGGGTAATAATGACGTCACGTGCTGCTGCTGTTGCATTGTAGAGATTTGTATGTAGTGAGTAGAACAAATTGCCGATTTTTGTGGGAAATTATTTGATCGTAATCTTCATTTGGATTTGTTGGGAATTAGATAAAGAGATATACAGAAATTAATTGATTAGGGCTACTGGAAGTTCTTACCTGTTCAATTTTTTATAAATCAAAATAGCTTTGATTTTAATATTTTTCGTTTCTTGCTTCGAGTTGTCAGTGTTTTGAAAAAGAGAACGAAATTTTGAAACCAAATTCCAAATTTTTTTTAAAGAAACGCCATTTGTAATAAATTAAATTATCAAACAAAATTTCGATATCATTGGAGGCTTGAAATATAAACAAAATTTTGGAATATGAAATGCAGATTAAAAGAATTTATTGTCTCACAAGGGGCGTTCAAGGATGAAATATAACTATTTTGCAAAATGAAAGGTAAGTATTTGATGAAGTCATTTTGGAAATGTGTGGAACCTAGAAACTGTGTATTGCAAATCAGACCTTAATAATCCGCCGATTTAGTTACCTTTTAAATCAAAATAAATGAATTAAAACAGTCTATGAGACATCGGCCATTTTCTGCAAGATCGGCATAAATCAAAAATATTGATGTAGAATTGTTCGCTATATCCGATTTCATGTCGTGTAAAAAATGTAGATGAATTTCTCTTACAAACTCTGATTGAAAAGCTGTAGAAGTTCCTCTCTACCTTGTTAGGTGTGGGGACAATTGAAAACTTAAGACGCGGGACAATTGAAACCTTAAGACCTTATCCAACGACTGCGTGGGTTTTTAGCGGCAGGTTGTTGCTCGTCCGAGGACCTAATTCTCTGCCCTGGGCTATGTTCTAGTTTTGGCTTCCGATGTTACAACTGCCGCACAGGTCGACCCAGCTGCTTCGTGTTCGCCACCTTTGGTTTATCCACCAACAACTGCCCAATTTTCATAACGGATTAGCCGAGGGTGGTTGTGCCTTATCAGCTTTCCTGGAGGCCTTTTTACGGTCTCTCTGTCGGGCTGACTTTGACAGTCCCTTACCCTTGGTTGCTTTTGGTGATGATCATGTAGGAGATTTCTCAGCACTTAGGTTTTCCTTAGGGGGAGCTAAAGGCTCAGAAGTCCTGGCCACAATCGTCTTAGTTGTGCTCGTGTCACTCGCAGTTTTCTCCTCTTTTGAAGGGTCTAACGTTGTGGACTTTGCACGTGAAGTTGGAATTCTATCAATTAAGAAGTCCCTCGCAATATAGTTGGGATATTTCCTTTAGAACTTCCGGATGTATTTGAGGTTTCTCGGACAAGGAGTTCCATTTAATTAATGGAACTCCTTGTCCGTTATCGAGTCTCCTTCCCGTCCTAAAAACGGTTTCAGCAATTAACCGCTCTCCGCAAATCTTCTTGTCAGAGATATTTTTTGAGCTGGCTCGTTTAGTGGTTCCCGGTTACGATGATTTATCCATCTTCACGATGGGGAGCTCATCGGCCCCAGTATTCACTTCGACGGGCCGTTGAGTTCGCTACAGGCCGTGGAGATGTAGTTAGAATTCTCTCCCTCGCCAGGGATTGCGTCCCTCCTCAGCGTCTGAGAGGAGTCACCAGGATAGCTATTGTATTAGTCTCCGTGGTGTTAATAACAATGGTATTCATGACGTCTTCCTCGTCTGTCAAGGCAGAGTCGTCCCAGAGTTGAATCGGGAAGCTTTCCTGACTACAGGCGGAAGGAGCCGGTTTCATCTGTAAGGAGGTCCTTCTGCTCTCCAGGTTTTCGTTTACGTCATCGAGAGTAATGGGGTTTGGGGCCAAGGAATGGTCCGGTGAGTTCTGACCTTGTAATTTTCGAAACTGAGGGTGCCAAGGCAGCCACACCAGCATTATTCGAAAAATCGCTCGATGTAGTGAGGATTTGAGGTCGGCTATGGCATAGCCTCGTTCCATGGTAAGGACTCGGCGGCTAAGCCTGAAAAACTTGTTGAGGCGCCCAGGTATCAACAAGGCTCCGTTTTAATACAGTCGGAACCCTGACAGCACTTTGGAAGACACCATAAGACGCCCAATATTCGGTATTTTTGATACGTGTTCTAACCAAATTGGCTGCAATTTAGTATTTTGGGTTCTCATTGTGTAGCACATCTCCATACCAAAAATTATTAATATTGAACCAAGTTTCAGGGTAGCCCCCATATAATGGTACCTCCCAATATTCGGTATTTTGGAGAATTTGAACGGGGTTTGCAACAGAATTGGTTGATTTGGTATTTTGGGTCCTCATTGTATACCACATCTCCGTACTAAAAATTATTAATATTGGCCCAAGTTTCAGGGTAGCTCCCACACAATGGTACCCCTCACCCATATTCGATATTTTGGAGATTATGTACATAGTATTATTATTTTTAATTTATTTTTTGTAACTATGCAAACAAAGATCCCATACGCCGACTTTTTGTTTAATTTAATAAATTTTACAATACTAAGGCAATACAACGTTTGCCGGGCCAGCTTTTATTAACCCCTTGACGTATCAATTAGCGTAACGAAGTTTGCTTCCAACTTTTAGCACACAACTTGCACTAAGTAAACCGGTTTTGATGCTTAAGAACAGCCGCAAAACGAAACGAAATGTGAATGCATGTAATAAAACTATTTATTTTAGATTAGATGTTGTGCACGGCATCAACTAGTTGTATTCTTATTATTATGAGAATCGAATCATAATCATGTTAGGCACAGAAATTGTACCACGAGTCAGACTCGTG